AGTCCAAAAATAACTTTAATGATTCATAAAACAACAGCCAATGTGTTGATGTGGCAGAAGCCAGTAAAATGGCAGCAAACAAGCTGGTTTGATGGAGGAGGAATGGCTGTTGGCCCCACTAGAGAGATGTCCTATCACTTCCCACTGTATCTCATGACTGGGGGAAAGAGGTGGCAAAACCATATTATTAATTAGTAGATGTACAGTAGGTGCCAATCCCATGTTACTAGGAAATATAAAAACAGGGGCCATATAGGAGGGGATTGCGATCTAGTCCTTTCCCTATGGTCGATTCCATTTAACAACCCTACTACAACCCTTCTGTTTGCCTCGCAAACCACATATATATTTGATCCACAAATGACAAGCTGCCAACGAAAAAACACCTGCATTCAGGGGGGTGGAGCATGGCGGTGCATTGAAGTCAATGGCACCGCAGCCACGCCCCTCACCCGCAGTGCGTTCCGGTCCAGTGCGATCTTTCAAAAAGGCTTATTTATTTTTTACTATTTCTTATTTTTTATTTCATTTTAATTTTTTTTTACTGTTGGGGGGGCTTTGGGGAAATATTAGGGGTCTAAACAGCCCCCTGATATTTCCCTTTTAAAATAAAAAAAGAAATTGAGGACACAGAGTCCTCAATCTCTTTTTCTGCAGCCTCTGTTCTAAATGAATGGAAAGCACAGAGGCTTCCCATTCATTCAGAAACTATTCACTATCATCCAGTGGGAGAAGCCTCTGTAAAGAGTGCTACTCCCCATTGAGAAACTCATGAATGAACAGGAAGTGATGTAATACACTACCTGTTCATTCATAACTGGGGACACGTTGATGTCCATTTAATTGGACCGGTCGTCACGGACCAGTCGTCACAGGTTTTGTCTGTGACAACTGGTCCGATTAAATGGACATGAACGATATTTATTGAGTGCTGGTGATTTCTACTTTCCATTGTTGATTTGCACGGCGCCATCCGTCCGTGATTGTCACTGCGAGCACCACTATTGCTACTTGGGCCGGGAACGCTGTGAGGAGTGCTGGGGGACTCACCATCTCCTACCCAGTTATTTACAAACACTGGAGTGATCAGCTGATCGCTCCAGTATTTGTCCTGCACAGAGGAATCGGCTACGTCCTCTGCCGACTGCAGCGCTTCGTTCACTTCTCTTCGGATCCCCGCTGCATACAGATGGGGGAGAGCAGCGGGGATTCAGAGAAGCCCCACGGCAGGAGGACAGGACATCGCGATCTACCAGGGATCGCTTTGCGATCGACTGTTAGATCGCGATCGACCTAATGGGCACCCCTGGTCTACGCTCTTGCAGTGCTGTAAGGAAGCATTCCCATATATGCTTGCATCATCTCCTCTACCTACCTCCTTCTGTGATTTGTGACTATTAAGGGTTTCATGACTCGGGCATGTCTTGTGCTCACACTGAAGCAAACCGTACCAGACTCTAAGTAAACCATGCACTATACCTCTTCTAAGGGGTTTCGCTTATGCATGTATGGGCACAGTTCAGAGTGCTCACACTTCACAAGCAAACCAGACTAAGGGTGTTATGGTGCCCAAGCAAGGTTAAAACCCCTGGGGCTTCATGTATAAATCTTCTGGCCGGCGTATAGCTGGGCAGATGCCATTTGCACAGCACTAGTGCCACTAGATGGTGCTCATGAGTATAGGTAATATACTCATAATCACCAGCTAGGGGGGAACAATGCCATGCGAATGGCATGTGCCCAGCTATATGCCGGGTGTAACTGTTATATATACCCCCTAATGTAAGTCCACCCTTAGTACTAAATACATAATTATAAATAGATAGGTTGTGAAAAGTATACGCTCACATGTAAAATAAAATTTAAAATAAAGAGAGACAGACATTCACATTTGCCACATAGTGCAAATTAGTTATCTGTATGCCGTGTGCCTCCTATAACGCAGCCACTTGGGCTGCTATGACTATTGTTACGTCACTTGGAAGTCAGGGCTCTGTGCAGTCCACATAGTTTCCTCCATGCTAAACTCCTCAAACCATGTCTGTATAGATTTGGCTTTGTACACAGGGGCACAGTCATCCCGGAACAGTGAACGACCTTCTCCAAACTGTTGCCACAAGGCTGGAAGTGCACAATTGTCTATAATGGTTTTGCATACTTAAAGTGACATTAAACCCTCAGATTTTTTAACCTAAAACAATACTGTAATGTGTGCCTTACTGTAATCCATGGTTGTTTCCCTTCTCTTTGATGCTCTTCCTTTTAAATCTGTATCTGTTCTCATGCTTGGAGAGAACTTCCCTTTTCAGCTCAGGGCCTCTTCCTGTAGTGCTGGCTCAGGTTACAGCCTATAGAAACGTATACACATACACCGTTTGAGACAAGGCAGTCTGCTGAAAAGGGAAGTTCTCTCCAAGCATGAGAACAGATACAGATTTAAAAGGAAGAGCATCAAAGAGAAGGGAAACTACCGTGGATTACAGTAAGGCACACATTACAGTATTGTTTTATGTTAAAAAATCTGAGGGTTTAATGTCACTTTAAGCATCAATAGTACCCTTCAATGGAAACACCTGAACCTGATCATTTGGAAGTGAGTTCACTTACTCTTGGCCGTATAGTATTTTGTGGTGACCACAAATGGCCACAACCCTTCAGCCATATAGCGAGCACAACAGTTTGCAACTAGAAGTAGCTGAACATCAACAACATTAGAGAATGCAGTATTTTATTTTACCATTGAAGGGAGCACTGAGAGTACCAATACCTCCGA